TGTACCAACTTACCAACCGAATAAACCCCATTTTATTGTTACATGTTATTTGGCGTTTGTCTTTATTAACCCCAAATTAACATCATAACAGTCATGGATATCAAAATAATTAATTTCAGAGTCGACGTAATTTTACCAAAGCACCATTGAAATTAACTTAGCGAGCTCTGTTCCGAAAAATGTCCAGTTTAAATATTAGAAAGAAGTAATTGACACGACTCTTGCAAGTAACTTACAATGCCTTGTGTCATCCTGATGATTGTAAATTTTCAATTTATTTATTTATTTTTTGATTGCATTTCTGATGATTTAATTTCTACTTCGTTCTTTGTTCTTTATCTACTTTTCTCCATCGCTATTAATAATTTATGAGCCAACATATTTCTTAACTTCATGTAATTTAAGACATAATTAAATTAATTTATGTGGTTTGGGATTTATTTAAGAAAGTTCTTTTTTTACATTGACCTAGTTATGCGTATAGCTAATTGAATAGAATTTAAAAAGACAAGCTGTAAATATTCAAGTGTTTCTTATCTATTGGTTATAAAAAGAATACGGTTTTTTTTTTGTTAAATGTAACATTACTGTTTTTTACTATGCATAAAATAGTAGACTACAAGCCAATTAATTTTAACGCTTTTGTTCTGCAAATACAACTCAGTAGACACTGAAATTAGACTTTGTCTATATTTCTGAGATGAGGTATTATGTACAGTATTTACATTAGTCGGACTATTGTCCTTATCTTTGTCGCCATATTTGTCACAACGTTTCGGCCGTTGTACGCTCCGGCCTTCTTCCAAACATGGCACGTGGAATTAGAACAGTCTACCCCAGCGATCGAAATAAAGGGTTCAGTTCGAAATTCCAACCACCTGAAGCGTACAACGGCCGAAACGTTGTGACAAATATGGCGACAAAGATGAGGACAATAGTCCGACTAATGTAAATACTGTACTGAAATTAGACGTTTACTGAATGATATAGTTTTATGGAGATAAGAATTGCATCTGTCTATATTTCTAAGATCTCGACGCCAGCTTAGTACTGCGTTTAAATTCTTAAAGTCTAGGTACCATGGCTATGTACAGAAATGTGGCACAAGGGGAATGGTGAAAAGGACGGTCTTGTTTTGTCTTAACGTTAAACTCAGCTAGCCACAAACACTGACCCAAACATACCACAATATTCCTTACACCACAACAACGCATTCTTACGTACCTTTCTTACTACATCCACCATAATACCGTAATGTCTCTATGAAAGTCCTAACTAGTCCACATATGTACAATTCATTGTCTGTGTATGGGGTGGGGGATAAATCAACAACTTTAAAAATCTAACTCTATAGCGAAGAGCGCTTGCGAACAATTACCATGAAATTATTTATAGAAAAGACACAGTGAGGCAACCTTACAGCGATGGAAATGTTACTGAAGCCGAGCTGTCAGATCAGGAACAATAATATTGCTCATTTTTCTTTCGATTTTATCAAAGATTTCAATTCAAATAACAGCGGCACTGGACCATATGTTGCAGCAATATTCTAAGCATGAACGAATGGTAGACTTATAGATATGTATATGTAAATTGTAAAAGAAGGAATTTTACTTGAGAGCACCTTCTATAATGAGAACCACAATATTTGCTAAATATAAACTGTCATATAGAGAAATATTATTTCATATAGTAAATAGATATAAATCCGTCTGTATTTCTGAGATGAGGTATTTTAATTATTTACACTATTTACATTGTTCAGAGTGCTGTCCTCATATTTATTGTCATATTCAGAACGTTTCGGTCATTTTAATCTCTGGACTTCTTCAGGATCTTCTTCTATATTTCTGAGATTAGTTATTGTAACTATTTATACAATTTACATTGTTCATCCTGTTGTACCCATCTTTATTGCAAAATTCACGACGTTTCGACCGTTGTAGGCTGCGAACTTCTTCAGGATCTGTCTATATTTCTGAGATGAGGTATTGTTATTATTTACACTATTTACATTGTTCGGAGTGTTGTCCTCATCTTTATTGTCATATTCAAGATGTTTCGGTCTTTATACGAACCGGCCTTTTTCAGTTGAGGCATTATAACTATTTATACTATACACATGGTTCAAACTATTGTCGTCATCTTTTTAGCAAAATTCATGACGTTTCGACCGTTGTACTCCAAGGGCTTCTGCAGGATCTTTCTGTATTTGGAGATGGTGTATTAGAACATTTTAAACTATTTACATTGTTCGGATTATTGTACTCAGTTTTGCTTTCATATTCACAAAGTGTCGGCCGTTGTACACTTCGGCCTTCTTCAGAATCCGTTTATATTTCTGGAATGACGTATTGCAACTGTTCACACGATTTATATGGTTCGGACTGCTTCCCTCATCTTTGTTGCCATATTCACGACGTTTCGCTTACTGTATGCTACGGACTTCTTCAGGTCCATCATAAACGAAAATGGCATGCTCATCATTAATTAAACATAGCTAAGGATCGGAAGCTTATGAAGAATGAAGTTCATATATATATATATATATATATATATATATATATATATATATATATATATATATTTTATTTTAAGAAAACCTAGGTAATCCGTATAGGTAAACCTAAGGAGGATAAATATCAGAGAGCTCAATGTAAATCCAAAGCAAATGATTTAAATAAAAACAGACCACTTTAAGGTTCCATGTAATAAATTATTTCACCACAGTCTTTTTAAAGGACTGCGGATCATCAGACTTTACTTAATCTTTATGAACATAATCTTTATGAACCCCCAAAATAACACTTTCAAAGTAAAACAAAATAACAGCGTCTGTTTCTAACCTTTTTTTACAAAGAAAATTAATTACAACTTCTCTAACTTCCTTCTCTCTTTTTCTCTCTATGGGTTTTTTCTTCTCTACCCCTTCGTTATTAATATATAACTTCCGTTAACTTAACCGTTTAAATGTGTCAATATCTGCTAACTCACTCATGTCTTCTCTTTCTCCCCCCTCACTTCCTCACTTCGTTAATTTACATATGTTTAATAAGGTCCGTCAAAAATGTGTAAATTTTCTTTTCATTTTTTGTTTGGAAGTAAAGTCTGATGATCCGCAGTCCTTTTAAAAGGGCTGTGGTGAAATAATTTATTACATGGAACCTTAAAGTGGTCTGTTTTTATTTAATATATATATATATATATATATATATATATATATATATATATATATATATATTCAGAATCATTTTCAACTTATTCAACTCTAACGTTCTAACCTTGTGTCCTTGAGTATCAAAGTGTAGCACAGCTTTCACGTATGATTTCATTTTCAAGTCTTTTTTCATTGTTTTTTTAAATATTAAATATTTTGTGGGATGGTCAATTATTTTGTAACAAGATTTGGGCAATTTTACTGTTACGCCCGGTATATATATATATATATATATATATATATATATATATATATATATATATGACTGACATCATCAAATTTTAGCATTGAATATTTAGCATAAAAAAACAAACAAACAATAAAATAATAAATACAAATTTTATACTCCATAGTCTAAATAAAAAGTTTAAATGCCCTACCCAATAAAAAAAAAACTTTATGAAGTCGTCAAAAAAACAAATGTTAGCGATTTATGACAGTTTTCAGGAAAAAAAAAATAAATAAATCTCCATAGACACTTAACCAGACTAGACGATGTCATCTTCCGTTTTGAATTTAGACACCCCCACCTTACTCTGACTTGACCTCTTTGAATGTAACTGAGATATTGATACAAATTATTAACCCTTATGCCCCTTTTTTTTAAAATAATTGCTCTAGCCGCTACCATAGTAATTTTAATTTTAGTAATGAATATGCTTATAAAACGCATAAATTTCAAGAATTAGTTATTCCCAAAAAAATTCGCTTGAAGATGGAACAGAGCTTGGTACTTTAATTCAATTTAATTCAAATAATTACATTGAAGTTTTCGGCTCATGTTTTGAAACATGAGAACTCTTATGTAGCGATGGAATCATATTTTTAAATAAATAATTTATATATATATATATATATATATATATATATATATATATGTGTGTGTGTGTGTGTGTGTGTGTGTGTGTGTGTGTGTGTGTGTGTGTGTGTATATATGTGTGTGTTTTTTAACGACGACAGGCAACGTTTTTCCGAAACATTCTAATAGATAATACAAACATAATAATCTAACCCATATTTTTAAAAAAATGATTAAAGTAATCGAAGCCTTAATAATAAAAAGAAAAAGCCAACACTTAATAATATTAACTCTGAACATGGACACAATCTGCTGTGTTCAGAAAACAAAACATCCTTATAATTCTAGAAACATACACACATAATAAATATAAAAATAAATAATGATAATGGCGGAAAGTATCGTCGAAACCTCTCGGAATTACAGAAACTTGAGACAGATTCTACATAGGCCGTGTCCAGGAAAAAGACTTGTTCGAACAAAAGAAAAATTAAATAAATGCTTAATCGCAGTACCTTATCTGTAGCCTTTAATAAAACATGTATAAATGAGGGATTGCTACCTAGATATATAATATATGTATGTGTGTTTGTGTGTGTATGCGCGCGTGTACGCGTGTGTGTGTTTGCGTGTGTGTGTTGTGTAAGCTGTGGGAAAGTGTTCCACTGTACGCGTGTTTGATCTACCGCTGGAACAACGCTTCTCTCTAAACTGAAAGAATTGCCAGTGTGTCAGAAAAGTCTCAGTCATAAACATCTATACACATGAAAAGTCCATAAGACGATTTTCTTTTTTTTTTCAAACTGACGAAAAAAATTATCTTTAATGAAGATGTACAGTGGCAATATCTATTATTTGTTTGCTTATTTTGCAAATAAATATATCAAGAGTCAAAAGAAAGGCAGGATGACAAGTGAAAGTGGAAGGTGTAAGTGAAAGACAGCCAATATATATATATATATATATAGGGAGAGGGATTGAGGGTCAAGTAATAGAAGGGAAGAGAAGAAATATAAAATAATGCAGAAAGAACGATTTACTGAAAAGAAGAAAACTTGGGAAATGATGGAATTTTGAGAGGGGAAAATGAAGGAATTGGAGACAGAAAGGAAAACAATGAAAGACAGAAAACATCAAGATAGAATTATGGAATGTTCGAGATAAGAGAATTGGATGAAATGAATAAATAAACCACGAAGCGGAAAAAAGAAAAGAGCAAGTGGAGAAAGAAAGAAAGAAAGAAAGAAAGAAAGAAAGAAGAAAAAGAATGAATGAGTGACAGAAAGGAAGAAAGACAGGAAATTTAATGAATGAAAGATAAAACAATGAAAGAAAACAATTGATAAAGGAGAAAGTAAGAAAAAACAAAGAAAGAATGAATGAATAAAAAACAGGAAGAAAATGAGTGCAAGATAGAAGAATGAAAAAAATTGAGAGAAAGAAAGAAAGAAAGAAAGAAAGAAAGAAAGAAAGAAAGACAGGAATTAGGAAACAAAAATTAATGAAAGATAAAAGAAGGAAAAATTCTTTTAAATAGAAGAAAGGAAGAAAAACAGGAAGAACAATGATTGGAAGATAAATGAAGAAAAGAATGATTTAATTGACATAGATTAAAGAAAAAAGAAGTAATGAAAGAAAGAAAGAAGGAAAGAACGAAAGAAAGAAAGAAGTAAAGAAAGAAAAATGAAAGAAAGAGAAAAATGAAGGAAATATTTAAATGAAATAACGAGCAAAAGGATTCTATTTCGAGAGAGGTAAGGAAAGAAGAAAGGTAAGAAAAATTAATGAAAGGAAGAAAACTTTAAAAGAAAAAGATAGAATGTTTGAAAGGAGAAAAATGAAGGAAATCGAGAAATAAACAACTGAGAAAAAAGAGAATGAAAGATTCATAGGAAGAGAAAGAGAGAAAAAAACGTTGCGAAAAAAGTAAAGAAAGAAGAATGAAAGGGTACAAAAAGAATAAAAGAAAAAGGGAGATGAAAGATAAGAAAAGGGAAAAGAAAAACACACAGACAAATGATCCAATTTTATTTTTGCGCCATTCGTCCCCTTTGACCTCCGCAACACCCAAAAGTTGTCACAGGATTCTCTGCAGTAAAGAATCGTTTCATATGCGCGCGCATAAAGGATCTTTTTAAATCTCTCTCTCTCTCTCTCTCCCTCTCTCTCTCTGTATGTCTGCCTCTCTCTCTTTCTCTGTCACGATGCCAAGTTTGATTGTGCCAAATATGTAATGGACAAAGTAAGGCACGTGTTAAACCTGCAGAAAAAAAAAACGGTAAAGAGATATTGGAAAAGACGAGGCTGGCGGTCATTGGTCAACTTGCGACACTTGTGACCCGACCTACCATAAAAACAAAACTCTGACGCAGCGTCATATTATTATAATGAAATTGAATCTGGCTACGGCCGTGGTAGACAGGCGATCGGCCGTTGATTAACTGATGACCAAGAGATGGACATGTCGTGATCTTCAGAAAATTAGAAGGATGAGTCGCTGGTTTGTAGTGGTGTCTGAGAGGAGCAGAGAGAAGAAAATAGTTGTTGTTATGGCACTTGCTAGAAATGTTCTGAACGATCTATCAGGAAAATACGAAAAAGTTTTCTCTCAGTCATTAGATTTTCGATTTTTCTTCTTTTTCTTCTTCTACGTGTATTATTTCAGAACGTGGGTGATCGTAACTCACCACAACTTCATGTCTTTTACAGCTCAGTAGATTATTTCTGTCAAGCATTTATACAAACTCGTTATGTAGGTCACTCACTGCTTTCTTCCAGTCTCCTTGTCGTCAATATTCCCTGCGAGTTTCAGTCTACAAACACCATTTTTGCGTTATATGCGCAAGAGATATCACCTTCTCTGTTTCTAAGTCTAAATGTCCGTCTTGTTTCTATTTTCCTGAAACAATCGTTTTCTTAGCATCCGTTTTTAGAACCGTATTTCTGTCTTCTCTTCATCTATGAAAGTGTGACAATAGAATCTGAAGGTTTATTAACCGTTTGTGCTTTGCATTCCTGAACAATTTTAACCCTTCTACCTCAGCTCCTGAGTCAAAGTTCGTAAATAATTGGAATGTAATGTTTCACGGGAGATATAAAAATAGTTACAAGTTTTTACCCACAGTTCAACCGGTGGTTAGCCATTACGCCATTTTTCTCTACCAACTTTAAAGTGATCGTCGGGGCTCAAAAGGTTAAGCAAGGCATTCTTTTTACTTGAATGCCTCATATATAGGCTACAAGTTTGTAACCCTTTGGGCGCTGCGTACCTGAACAATTTTAACCCTTCTGCCTGAGCTCCTGAGTCAGAATTCGCAAATAATTGGTATGCAATGTTATACGGTAGATATAAAAATAGTTACAAAAAATATAAGCAGTATACTTAGCGGGCAGAGAGTATGATTGCATTCCTTCACTTTATCGCCAGAATTCTTTCTTTGTGTCCCAGTCTACCAAAATAAGACAACCAATATCAAACCAAGACGCAAGTAATTACCCACCATTCAACCAGTGGCTGGGCATTAAGTCATTTTTCTTTACCGCCGGTAAAGTTATGGTCTGGGTTCAAAGGGCTAAGATAGAGAAAGATGTTTTCTAAATGCTAAGCAAAGTATGGCACCCAATCTTATTGTGCAGTTTGCATCTCTACATCGGTGACTATGTCTCTCCACAGCTTCACACTCCTTGTTTATTTTTCTCAGCTTCGTACTTGCATGCGTTTGCAAAAGCTATATAGATAGGTCACTCTCTGCTTTCCTCTGTGCCTCTTGCCGTCAATATGTCCTCTGAGTGCTCTCCAAGCCTTCTTTTCTCCATATGTGCCCTAGAAATGTCAATTGTTCATCTTTGATTCTAAGTGTATGTCCTTTTTTTAGCATTTTCTTTAAAACTTTGTTGTTGCTAGCATGTTCAGTGCATTATATTCTCAGTATCCTACTGTAGAACACCATTGTTTCAAGTCTCTTCTTCACCTGGGATTAGATTTTTCAGCATCCGTTTCCATAAAGAAGCGATATTGCATACCATTTTCTTTCTTTGTAAGGCAACACAAATGAACTAAGCAAGACGCCTTAAATAAAGAACTCTAAATGAGCCAGGGTAGTCCGTCGAAGTTAAGCAGTCTGCTGTGTGGCTCACGATAATCTTCTGGTAGAGCATGAATCAGTCGATGCTCTCTCCTAACGGACGGAGATTCGGCTGACAAAAGTAGACAATGCAAAGTGCCCGATCCCGCGGTTTCGGTGGCTGAGTAAATGTTGACCTTTGGTCTGAGTGTACGCGTTCGGTTTCCCCACACTAAACTCGACCTTGTATCACATCTCGCCTCAGTTGGAAGACTGAGTAAGTACCAGTCCGTCGGAGTCAAGCAGACAGCTGTCTGACACGCGATTGCCAAGCTCTCTGTCTTTGAGTAGAGTACGGCTCTGTTGGGGCTCTGTCTATGGACAAAAATAGGCAATGCAATATACCCGACCCTGTGGTAGAAGGGCTAGGCAGATTTTGACCTTCGGCCCGTATGTACGCGCTCGAGGTATCCACACTAAACTTGATCTTGTGTGAAATCTCGTCTCACTGGAGAGACTGGGTGAATACCAGTCCCCGCAGGTGACGTCATGGCGAGTAGCCTAAGCAAGGTATAATAATATAAACGCTAGGAGTGAGTTGTAACAGGGTAGTAAACCAAAGTTAAATTTCTAAATTGAGAAAATCCTAATAAACCTTTATTTTATGATTATCACCAAAAGAACATGTACAAGATGTAAACTACGAATTGCATTCCCTAAAATCAAACAAGCGCAAAAATCTAATTATTTAGAAAGTGGCATCGAAATTTAAAGACGTTTAGCAAAAGATGCCTTCCAGTGGGAAAAAAAGAATATTTCGTTAGAAACAAAAAAAAGCATAATGGGCTGTTATGGAACATCGGATTTCCTATCCTGTTCTTGAGTATTTGATTCACTACTTCACCCCATTCGATCACCGTTCTTACCAATTTTCGCCTATTCTTGTATCTTAGTAAGCATAATACAGAGCTGAAACTCTTTTCTGACTCACCAAACATCTTATGGATTGAGTTATATCTTTTTTAATGAATCTATTTAGCTCTAAATTGAAATGATGATACCTCTTCCTGTTGTGATCTTCTAATCAAGCTTTGCCCTCTACTGTTCCCTCTTTTTTAAAACTTATTTTCCATTCTCTTTATGGTTCTTGCCGGACTTTGAAAGCCAGAGTATGAATGTTGGTATAATTACTGAAAGCCTGAATGATATTTTTCGTCTCGCCATTGCTCATTTGGGAGGACAGTGGGACTGACACAAAACGATTTTAACCGGTTTTCTTTCTAGCTTAATAACTCAGTGTTTTTCAGTGATTTTTATGAAGAATGGTGTCTCACTTATGTCATCCAAATTCCCTTGTTGAGAATTCGCTACAGAGGTTTAATCAATTGGATCATGGTTCATACCCTTTTCGCCTATTTTTGTCACTTTCTGAGTCAACTTGATAGATTCTCTCACTATTGTTATCATTAATCTGTCCTTGAATGTTCAATCCAGTAGTCTAACCCATTCGATCACCGTTCTTACCCATTTTCGCCTATTCTTGTATTTTTCTTGATCATGATACTCTTTCATTATTTTTATTCTCTTGTTGAAGGTTCCCTACAGTTAGTTCAATCCATTAGACCAAATCACTTGTAACTAAAGGCTTACAATAGAAATGATGTTCTTTTAATACTCCTGTAAACTTTCGAGTACACTAGCAGTTTTAATAAAGATGTCGCTTTTCCCCTAATTTCAGTTTCTTGCTCTGTATTTCCTTGGTTTTAAAGGATTCTTCCCAGTTCCCGAAAATGATGGCACAAATGACACCCTTATGTTCCAAAATATCATAAGCTCTCAGGCAACGTTAAAAGCTGTTATGGGACCTTACCCATAATAACATAATGGACTATTCCATACGTAATAAATACTGCGCCTCAAGAGGAAGCGGAGAGTTCAGTCCGAAGTCGTGCGACCGGCTGATCGGCTGATCGGTTGAACTCTCTGCCTTCGGGCGGGGAGGAACCCGAACCAGGCTACGCCGAAGGGCGGAGTCTTTTTCGGGGAGGTAAACTGACCCTGAACCCGTTCATACGGGTTCAAAGGGCATATTTTGGTCCGAGCCCACGGGCTCGGAGATACCACGGGCTCGGAGATACCACGGGCTCGGAGATACCACGTTAAACCGGCCTTGTGCCACATGATGCCCTCGGGGGCGGGTCACTAAATACCGTTCAGTCTGAAGTCTGGAGTGAAGAAGTCTGCCAGTCAGTCCGTGGCAATCCGAACAGAGTCGCGTTCAGACAATTACTACTAAACCTGATTGTTCGTACTAACACTTTCTAATTCTCTGTATATATTCCTGTTTGTAATATATCTGTGTTATTCCATATCCGCCTTCGAGTTCTTTATTGGTTCTACCTTGGACTATCAACGTGGTACAAGGAACTGGACCATAACAGATTGCCAACTAATCAAATCTAGAGATATTAGTCTTCCATATTTAACCCATAGATGAGAGGAAGAAGACATGAATTCACATCTTTCCCAAGTATTTATGTGCAAAAGCGACTGCAAAATATTCAGACAATTACCGCAAGACATTGGAATAGTGATACTGGTCGAGACTACATTGTTCTCCCTACTAAACCTGATTGTTCGTACTAACACTTTCTACTTCTCTGTATATATTCCTGTTTGTAATATATCTGTGTTATTCCATGTACGTGTTCGAGTTCTTCTTTATCGGATCTACCTTGGACTATCACCGTGGCACAAGGAACCGGACTATAACAAAAGCGTTATCTATCTTCTCCGTTTCTTAAAAATGAAAAGAAAGAAATTGTATTTCAGAGGAGGTCCATATTAAAGCAGCCATACAGACATGTTCCTTTAACCTCTTTCGGCACACGATTCTTTTCTAAGAAATATATCAATAATAAAAACAGAATGGTGCAACGAAGCAATCCATTCCAAACCAATTCTAAATTCGCGACAGTTGCCCAAGTGCTGCAGCTTTTGCAATTTGCTTTCGACAGGTTACGTCAGCGAATATCACGTGACCTCGGCTCTTCTTTTGCGTTTTGAATGCGATAGATTAGAAGCGTTTTTTTTTTTTTTTTAATTATTTATGGCTATTGGGGCCAGCGAGAGGACCATGAAACCGAGGAAAGAAGAACAATCAATTTTTAATGACCAGTTGGAGATAGAATCAGATGTCTGCGAAAAGATGAGTTTGACATACAGAAAAATGTAAAGGAGAAATAAAGAAAGAGAAAGAAAGAATCCAATTAAGGAAACGTAAACACCAACTGCAAGAAGACAGCATGATCATCAGCAAGAGAAAAAAAAGCATGATCATCAGCAAGAGAAAAAAACCCAGAGATGCGAGTTACAAATTGGAGATACACCATTGTGCAAATTAATTGAAACAACCGTTTAGCTTGCTTTCTTTCACCATACGGTCAGATTTAGACCTAATGGAGTGACAGGGTGTAATCGATTTCTATTTTTCCCTTAGATTATGTCATTTCCACTGGTGTGCAGTAATATAAATCTATTTTCGGGGTGTATGATAAAATTTGTTTGGCCTCGAAAAATATTGCATCATCCGTGATTGCATCAGATTTTTATCACACCCAGACATTATTGTCTCGACAGTCGATTAGTTGTCCTATGGTCATTGTCTGTGATGGACATTACTCCAAGGAAGCGTAGAAGATAATTTAGTGAACATAAAAGTATACACCCTTGTGTAAATTAATTGAAACAACAGCTTTAGTTTCCTTTTTTTCACCATACGGCCAGATTTAGACACACTGGAGTGACAGGGTGCAATCAATTTCTATTTTTTCCTCAGATTAGGTCATTTGAAGTGGTGTGCAGTAATATGAATCTATTTTCGGAGTGTATGATGAGATTTGTTTGGCCTTCAAAAATATTGCGTCATCCGTGATTGCATCAGATTTACATCACGCCCAGATATTAATGTCTCGACTGTCGATTAGTTGTCCTACGGCCATTGTTTGCGATGGACGTTACTCCAAGGAAGCGTACGAAAATTGTAACACTGCACGAACACACTGGCAAGCCTTACTTGGCCTGGAAACTCTCCTGATTTAAATCCAATCCGGAATCTGTGGTCAATCTGCAAGGGACAACTTTGTACTAACATGTGCACTCAGTCTTGGTTCATTGGAAAAAATACGAAAAAAATATAAATAATAACGGAATTATTCGCTTTGTTTCAATTAATTTGCACAAGGGTGTATTATTGCAAAAGTTAATTAAAGGATAATTCAGAGGATAATTTCCGATCAAGCGAAACCTAAAATAAACCGAAATCCCCTTATTCGGGATGTTGGCGATCATGGCTCTCTACAATTTCTTGTTCTTTGTAGCTTTTAGTAAATTTTGTATTTTTGTTATCTCTACTTAACAATGTTCTGCTAACAATTTTTTGTTATCTCTCGTAAAACCCTGACTGTCCATCCATTGACAAAAATTCTTTTTTCTTCTTCTACGTGCTGTGTCCGTTGGCGATCATGGCTCTCCACAATTTCCTTTCCTTAGTAAATCTTACCTTTTTGCTATCTAAGCCTCGTTCTGCTAACCAGACATCAGCTCGTTTTGAATGTTAAAACAGGAAGATGTGGCGAACTATGATCACCTGGTCTGGAAACTCTCCTGATTTAAATCTAATCGAGAATCTGTGGTCAATCTGCAAGGAACGACTTCGTGGAATAGACATACGAAGTACTAATATGTGCGCTCGGTCATGTTTCATTGGAAAAATACGAAAAAAATATAAATAATAATGTTTTTTTTTGTTACCTCTGATAAACCCTGACTCTCCATCCATTGACACAAGTTCGTTTTTCTTCTTCTGTGTGCCGTGTCCCTTCAGGACGTCGGTGATCATGGCCCTCCATAATTTCCTTTCCTTAGTAAATCTTACCGTTTTGCTATCTAAGCCTCGTTCTGCTAAACATACATCAGCTCGTTTTGAATGATAAAACAAGAAGATGTAGCGGACTATGATCGCCTGGTTTGGAAATTCTCCTGATTTAAATCCAATGGAGAAGCTCTGGAACAAGGAACAATCTGTAAGGAATGACTTCATGGAATGGACATACAAAGTACTAACATGTGCACTGGTGCATCTTTCATTGGAAAAATACGAAAAAAAAGTAAATAATAACGGAATTATTTGTTTTGTTTCAATTAATTTGGACAAGGGTGTAGTTCCCTCAATTTGTGGCAAAGTATATAAAAGTGAAACTAACCAACACATAAAAGTAAGGTTGCGGAAACACTGATAAGCCATATTGATTAAATTACTGATAGCATCAGTCAAGCAAGCTTCACTTACCTCTCTCAAAGAATGTACATTCTCCCATTCAAATTTTCTTGAAAATCCATATCTGCGAAAAAAAATATAAATAATAATGTTTTTTGTTACCTCTCATAAACCCTGACACTCCATCCATTGACACAAATTCGTTTTTCTTCTTCTATGTGCCGTGTTCCTTCAGGACGTTGGTGATCATGGCCCTCCATAATTTCCTTTTCTTAGTAAATCTTACCGTTTTGCTATCTAAGCCTCGTTCTGCTAGACATACATCAGCTCGTTTTGAATGATAAGGCAGGAAGATGTGGCGGACTATGATCGCCAGGTCTGGAAACTCTCCTTATTTAAAACCAATCGAGAATCTGTGGTCAATCTGCAAGGAACGACTTCGTGGAATGGACATACGAAGTACTAATATGTGCACTGGGTCATATTTCATTGGAAAAATACGAGGAAAAAGTAAATAATAACGGAATTTTTCGACTTGTTACAAATCATCTGCACAAGGGTATATCAACATCAAGCACAGGTGTAAATATCTGTGAACAGTTTTAAAAGAGTCGTGTACCGAGACCCGGAAACGCATGAGACTAGCGAAAGAAACATTACAAAATCTAAGCAAAATGCTAAGAAACGGAAGTTTTTTTTTCCAAACAAAGGAAAGAGTGCTGGAGCGTTTTGTGTTATCTATCCTCTTATACATGCAGTGAACACTGGCCAGTCTCTTCGCGGATTAGAGGAATATTAGAGAAAAGAGAAATGTCGTTCTACAGAAGGATACTGAGAATTCCATGCCTGGAGCGAGTAAGCAACAAAGAGGTCTTAAAGAAAATGATATCAAAAAGAACACTTTTACTCAGAATCATGCAAAGAAGGAGGGTTTGGAAAACTTAGCTCTCTCAGGGCATATTGATGCCGAAGGAGATTGGTGAAGACAACGAGCAACTTAATAGAATAATTTGACTGAATAGATGGTGGAACGGTTTCAGAAAAAAATCTCCTAAGACCCACACGGATTAGGAAGTTGTGAAGAGCCAGATCGTTTATGTTCTGAATTAAAGATTCACATAGAGGAAGAATAATATAGTTTAATTGTATGAACCCGAGATAATATTTTAATAATTGCGAATGTCTTCTGAGCAATATTTTTTTATTCCGTCACTGGCAGGGTCGTAGGGGCATCATCTGTACTGCAACCACAATAGAAGTGTTTTTTTTTGGGGGGGGGTAAGATATCCTGACGGAGCCCAAAACTCTCAGGGACGGTTGAGAATTCAGAGTTTTCCTTCTAGACCGGCTGCTACCCAAGGTTATAGAGCCTAGTCTGTACCGCTATAAATGATTCATACCTTCCCCGAGGACGTGGCATTCGAAAAGAAATCTATATTATTGTAAAAACGAGCAAGGAATTGGAGTCATAAAAAACGCACGACTATATTAAATATACCGATTTCAACAGAATTTGACCGGAAAGAGAACGAAATAAGCCCAGCTTCTTTAAAGACATTGGCAAAAGTCATGCAATATACGATATTTTATTAAAAAGTATCGGGTCTGTTGTTATATTAACAGAGATAATATGATCGGCCATTGCAGTGACAGACAAAACGCAGTTTTCCTCATTATTTTTTAAATAAATTTTTCTATAAATCTTTAAAATAGCTGGTAATACCCTAGTGTTGTATTTCCCTTTACATGCCTTTCTCTTAGATTTTTTTCTTTGCCTGAATTATCATGACGGTAATCTTACCATTCATGAGATATACGCGGTTTGATCAAAAAGTATCTCTCCTGTTGCTATGATGACAGAGCTAAAATAAGCGGAGTAAAGCCGCTTGGCACAAATTTGACCTTGAACTCTGCCATGCATAAATACCAATTTATAACCTTCTAGCTCTCTTCCGTGGTATATAGCAGTACTTGAAAAGTGTGGGCGTCTCGCTACAGTACAGAATTTCCATCAGGGAATATAGTTTTGGCCCAAATCAAAACATCCCACAGATCTAACAACCACCATATTCCCCAGATTCCATCCCTTGTGACTTTTAATTCTTCAAATATCAAAAAGAGGAACACGATTTCAAGACGTCCAGGAAATCCAACAAAATGAGACCCCAAAAAAGGACTTCCGGGACAGATTCTATCTCCTTCGAAGGAGATTGAATGCCGAATTGTTATATGTTGTAGTTTTCTTTTTATAACACAAGTCCCGATACATTTTGATCAGATCTCGTACTGGATGAATAAATACTAATTTTGTTATATTTAACTTCAGGTTTGATCATCAGTCTCCATAATTATACATATTTTTCATTTTAAATTATTCACGCATATCTGCACCGGGCGGCTAGGGTTCACCTCAGATTAACCTTGACCGTCCCTTTTCAATACTTTTCGATTAGATCATGTATATGCCCAGAATAATATAAAGAACAATAAAAATTCAAAAGCTTTTATAGCTATAATTCATTAAATACACAAAAATAAGAAGGGACGTAAGACAAGGATGTGACTTCTCACCAGACTTATTCATCCTATCCACTGATGCAATCCTGAGAGAATTAGAAGTCCTACCAGGATGCATTATTGGTGACCACAATCTTCACAACATTAGATATGCAGACGATACAGTCTTGATAGTAGACGCAGAGAGGGAACAGCAGGAACTTCTACAGAAAGTAGCAAAAGAAAGCTAGAAGAAAGGACTAACCATCAATTGCACGAAGAGAGAATGTTTGGTTGTCAGTAAAAGTAAAGCCCAACATGCGACTTATAAATTTGAGATTCAAAAATTAAACAAGTTAAATCCGAAGGCGCTTTGGAATGAACATTCAGAGAATGAACCTTAAGAGACGTCAGTGAAATAAAGAAAGAAAGAAAGAAAGAAAGGAAGAAAGAAAGAAAGAAAATTGGAGGAGGATGACAAAGAAAGAAAGAAAGAAAAAAAAAAGAAAGAAAGAGAAGGAAAAAGAAAGAAAGAAAAATGGAGGAGGGTGAGAAAAATAAGAATATGAGGAAGGGGGCAAAAGAAAGAAAGAAAGAAAGAAAGAAAGAAAGAAAGAAAGAAAGAAAGAAAGAAAAGTAGATGAGGATGAGAAAAAGAAGAAATAAAGTAAGAAAGGGAGGGAAAAAGGAAGAAAGAAAAATGGAGGAGGGTGAGAAAAAGAAGAATATGGGGAAAGGGGCAAAAGAAAGAAAGAAAGAAAGAAAGAAAGAAAGAAAGAAAGGGAAGGAAAAATGAAGGAAGAAAATTGTAGGAGGCTCAGAAAATTAAGTATATGAGGAAGGGGCAAAAGAAAGAAAGAAAAAAGAAAGAAAGAAAAGATGAGAAATATAAGAAAGAAAAGGTTAAATATAATGAAAGGAAAGAATAAGAAAAAAGCAGAAAATAAGTGGATACAAGAAAGAGAGAGTTAGGGTTAGCGTGGGAGAGAGTGTAAGAGAGAGTGAAAGAGAGAGTGAAAGAGACAGAGAATGAGAGTGGAAGATTGAGTAATAGTGAAAAAGAGAGAAAGCGTGTGTGTGTGTGTGAGAGAGAGAGAGAGAGAGAGAGAGAGAGAGAGAGAGAGAGAGAGAGGAGGCTGAAAGAAGAAATCTCTCAGCAGTGGCATTACCGGTAAACAAAGAAGGGAAATCAGAAGCTACAAAAGAACATTTGTTATAAATCAGAGAAAGAAAATGAAGGAGAAAGCTAAACCAAATCCAGATGAAGAATTTGAACACGTGAGAAAATGGTGTTGAACGGGTTAAGGATATAATGAAGAGGTATTAATGGAGGCGGAATAAGTAAAAAAAAAAAAGAAATAGTCATGAAAATTAATAAGAGAAAATGAACTGATGAATCTGTGAGAAGATTAACTTATCACTTTTGCTTGACAATACATCATTTTAATTTAATAAACAGAAATTAAGGACAATAGATTTTTAGAAAAAAGTAAGGACACTTTACAAATAAAATCCCACCGGCAGGTTAAATTGATATTTTAATTATTCCTTTATTTCATACGTACATGTCTACCCGGCGTTGCTTATGTAATTGTAGCTAAAAAGTTGTAAACTTATCATTTTTTTGTCTTGCAAACAATTCCCGTAAACCGTCTCCTGTTAAGCACTCTCATGGCAGGAAGAAGTGTTTTCTGTTCGATACAGCAGTAACCGTTCTACCTTTCGCCTCGTTCTACCCGTTTTTATTTCCCCATTCACAGCCAAAATTTGCATATGCGAAAAGCTAATCTCGCGAGGGAGTATCTGACTCCAGAATCTATCCTGATTTAAATGCGCGACCCGCGAAGCCGCCATTTTCTTCCGGGGTGATATGCAAATTAGTTTGCATTTAAGTTATATTTCCATAACTAAACTACGTACTTGTCAGAAGGAATACACGATACAACAACATGGCTTTGCAGATAGGATATCTAACATCATTAGGGGACCCTGAACTGGTTGAAACCTGGATAAAATGTTTTTCTCTGGCCTGAGGATATATCTTCGTTTTCCACTGGCAAGAATCAAGAAATTGAGTGACAGAAAAGAGATAGAAGTAGTAAATGAAATAACGGATTTATTTCTAGCATCAGACGGTTGTGAGGCCGTAAAAAGGATCTTCGTAATAGTCTATCCGAAGATGCTACAAGTCTTGATGTTTGAAGAAATTGCCAAGATTTTACAAGCAAATGTACGTTCTAAAAATAAACTGGTCATTGCTGAGAGAACGAAGTTTCTTGAAATCAGGCAAAACCCGGATGATATCATTAGACAGTCTAAAAGAAGCATCGAGGTACTGTGAATTCGAAAAGTTGGGTACAGGACTGATTATAGAAGAGGATTTAATACAGTTAAGATTAATTGAAGGTCTGTATGCTGTCTTGAGTAAGTACAAATTACAAGTCTAGAACATGAATATTGCAATAAGTTTTGAATTTTTAAAGCAACTAGACTTAATTTAGAGATTTAATACCTTAACGTGGCGACATAAAATACAACAGAATTTGCGTAAATGGATAAGACTTATACTTATTTCAAAGGACAGAGGAAAGAGGTCATGGAGATTTTGTAGATCACATGGTATAATGATGCCAAAGAGGATAGAGGAATCCTATCTAACTAGATAAGAGGGAAGAATAGTATTAGGGGTCTAATATTACTAAGAACTACAATGGATATGAAGTTGGGGAGAGCCTACGTAATCAAAGGATGCGGTAAATTTGGTGATATGCAAATGTAATTGTATTTAAGTGGGAAGAGTTCTACACTCAGGGGTAGTTATCTTGCCTTCACTACGCTAAGTATTTGTGAGGACGGATACACGGGACATGTTTCTTTTTCGATAGTTTACACGCGGGACACGATCGAATCTGTGTTCACTTTGACGGTAAGCCATTTTCTTCTAAAAGATGCAAGCAACCCTGGGCCTCTTTGCCCACTGTAGTAGTTGACTGCAGGATTGTATAAAAAACGTAGTTGATGTGAAGTATTATTTTAAGTTAGAAACAAGTTAATTCTTTTGATGACTTACACACTAAAAATCCAAGACCAAATTAAGACAAACTGTTTGATAATCAAAAACACTGTATAATACAAAGTGTGTGTAGAAGGAAATATTGCAATCTAGAATCGTACCCAAATATCAAGAAATCTCGTCTTGTTTTTACATCAATCCACTACTTGTTCAAATTGATTAAAAATTGTGTCCTCAAAAAAACGTGCTCTTATATCAGTTGCGTCCTCGCGCATGCAAAATCGCCAATACATGTGCTGTGATGAAATTACAAATGGCGACCATCACCGCCAACTTGGTCTCATTTTATTACACTCCTCCCTGATCTTATGATCACAAAGAGTACAACCGGGTGCGGGTCGATTCCGACGTGTACTTCTCCTAAGAGGGACAGCCGATTCGTCTGCAAGTTATTCCTCGTCATCAAATGATTCTGGTGTATGGAGGTTTCCCCTCATTAGAAATACGGCTTGGTCATCAAGTTGATCGCGAAAAAACTCTTGTGTCAGTCTTCTGATAGCTAGTGACAAGGGGATCGATTTACAAACCTGGTTCGTCTTCAGATGTGTCGTCAAACGAATTCTTATCGTTATTGGATGATTCTGGATCTCGATGATCCTATCTGGATCAGCCTTGCACTATCCTCCGAGATTCTCTCACTTTCAGACGAGTGTGGATCTAGAAAGGGGTACAAGTCTTTCACTAGAGAATCGTATAAAAAAACCCCGAAGCACTCACAGGATGCATTAAAGGCAAAAAGGACGGAGGAAAAAAAAGCACATTTAATTTACTGTCTTAACATACAAAACGAGCTGATGTATGGTTAGCATAGCGGGGCTTAGGAGAGATAGCAAAAAGGCAAGATTTACTAAGGTAAAGAAATTGTGGAGGGCCATGATGGCATACGGCACATAGAAGAAGAAAAACGAACTTGTGTCAATGGATGGAGAGACAGGGTTTACGATAGGTAACAAAAAATTGTTAGCAGAACAGTTATAAGATACAAGATAACAAAAACACAAAATTTACTAAAAGCTAAAGAAGGACAACCAATTGTAGAGAGCCATGATCGCCAATGTCCTGAATAAAAGGATTTCTGTTTATTTTTGCTTTCGTTTGATCGGAAATTATCCTCTAAATTATCCTTCAATTAACTTTTGAAATAATACACCCTTGAGCAAGTTGATCGAAACAAAACGAATAATTATGCCATTATTTAAATTTGTCGTATTTTTCCAATAAAACATGACACGGTGCACATGTTAGTACTTCATATGTTCCTTCCACTAAGTCATTAAATGCAGATTGACCACAAATTTCCAGGCCAGTGTATAGTACTTTGATTTGTCCACTGGTGATATTTGCCAGTGTGTTCGTGCAACGTTAAAATTTTCGTACCACAGATTCTGGATTGGATTTAAATCAGGAGAGTTTCCAGGCCAAGTAAGGCTTGCCAGTGTGTTCGTGCAGTGTTACAATTTTCGTACGCTTCCTTGGAGTAACGTCCATCGCAAACAATGGCCGTAGGACAACTAATCGACAGTCGAGACATTAATATCTGGGCGTGATGTAAATCTGATGCAATCACGGATGACGCAATATTTTTGAAGGCCAAACAAATCTCATCATACACTCCGAAAATAGATTCATATTACTGCACACCACTTCAAATGACCTAATCTGAGGAAAAAATAGAAATTGATTGCACCCTGTCACTCCAGTGTGTCTAAATCTGGCCGTATGGTGAAAAAAAGGAAACTAAAGCTGTTGTTTCAATTAATTTACACAAGGGTGTATACTTTTATGTTCACTAAATTATCTTCTAAATTATCCTTAAATTAACTTTGTCACCAGCGTTCGTAATATGTATTCGTGTTCACCAATATGTGGGTCAGTCAAGAATTGCTACAAAAATTGGGATTTTAGAGTTTGCGGTGGGGTTCAGGGTTTAAGTACTTTAACCAGGATGACGTACGACTCAGATAAAATGTATCATGAGTAAACGAATAATGATTTCTTCTTTCATGTGCCGATCATGACTCTGGATAATTTTCTAGCTCTTTGTAGCTGTTCTTTTTAGCTTTTGCTAGCTTTCCTAAGCCCTGTTCTGCCGACCAAGCAAAAACTCGTTAGACGGGAGCAATACACTATTTTGCCTATATCCCTTTCGCCTTCAATGTATCCTGTGAGTGTGAAAATTTTAAAAGCCTTTTGGGAATGTTTTTTGATGTTAAAGAACACTCGTTGCCAATTTTGTAATATCAACGAATACTCGTTGTCATTTTCGTAATGCTCATTGTATTAAAGACTTTGTCATCGCAGATGCAACCATATTAACGCCGTTGAACAATACTGGTGTTAAACGCCTTCGAATATCACTTGCACTAATAGTACTTGCTCGATAATACACGCTCAAAAAGTAACCACCGAATAGTAATCCGTATAGTGAGATATTCACTAACCGCTCCACGCTACCGGATGCAGCACCAGGCTAAGTTTATTGTAGGGTATCCGAGCTCGTAGGCTTGGTCAAAAATTCCCCTTATGCCCCGTAAAAACGGGGTCGGAAAGCTGTCCACCACCCCAGACGAAACTCTGCCCTTTGGCACAGATTCGTCTGGTTTCCTCTCTGCCCAGAAGTAGAGAGTTTGACAAGTGCACTTCCAAAGTAATCCAGATAGTGATTACTTAGACGCCACGCTAATTCGCATATATACATTTCCTTTAGCATCATGTGAACTACTAATTCAAAATGGGATCGCCCGTGTTTGCTCTCTGGGGACAATATATAACAGAATGTAAAATGAAAATATAAGAGCGAAAGAAAGACAGAAAACGAAGGAAGAGAAAAAGATACATATGAAAGAGAATTGAAAGAAAACCAGGGAAAAAGAAGAGAAAAACAAAGATGAAGGACCTTTTAAAAATAAGTGAGTAGAAATGAATGAGAAAAGAATATATATATTGGGAAATAAGATGTGTTGAAGAAATTTGATTACTAATTTAGAGTACAATAATAAGAACAATACAATAAATAATAATAATAATAATAATAATAATAATAAAAAGACAATAAAAGTACAATAATGACAAATTAGTGTACAATAAAAATTATAAAGATAATAACAATAACAGTTATAAATTAGAGTACAATAACAATAACATTAATAATAATAAATTAAGTACAATAATAATGAATTAAGTACAATAAAATAATAATAATAAAAACTGAAGTACAATAAAAACAATAAAAATAATAAATTAGTCTACAGAAACAAAATATTAATAATAATAAATGAAGTACAACAACAACAACAACAACAATAATAATAATAATAATAATAATAATAATAATAATAACATATTAGAGAACAATAATAATATTAATAATAAATTGGGGACAATAATAATAATAAATGTGAGTACAATAAAAACAATAATAAAAAATAAATCAGAAAACAATAACACTAATGATAATACATTACAGTGCAATAAAAGTACAATAACAATAATAATAAATTAGAGTACAGTAGCAATAGCAAGAACAACAATAAATTAGAATAAACAATGAGTACAATATCAATAATAGTAGACTAACGTAAAATGATAAAAATAATAATACTATATTAGAGTAAAATAGAAACGACAATACTACTACTAATAATAATAGAGTACATTAAATCTACATTAAGAATAATAAGTATAAATTAGATTAAAATAATAATAAAAAATTAGAGTATAATAATAATAATAATAATAATAATAATAATTAACATGAAAAGCGGGATCTGCCAATAAGATTCATTGTAAGCACTACTTTTCTACCTTGCATAAGCGCAACAGTAGCTACGGTTTCAAGTCAGAGAAAGGCAAACTGAATTACGTATTCTATATTGATTATGTAAAAATGTTTGCCAAGGATGACAACCAGCATAAATCCTAATCACTACTTTCAAAGCCTTCAGCAAAGACATTAGAATGGAGTTCGTAGTACGCAAATGTGCCAACGCCATCTACAAAGACAGTTAACTAACGAAAAGTACGGATTTAGACTTTGATATCAACAACAAGATTAAGGAACTAGACCAAGATGGTAGATACAAATACTTAAGAATTAATGAAGGAGACAGAGTACAACATTCATTTAAGATGAAGATCTAAATATTAGAAGAGAGTGCGTTTGATACTAGAAAGCGAACTAAATGGGGCCAATAAAATGAAGGCTATCAACACCTTAGCTATACAAGCAGTTACATACAGCTTCAACATTATTAAATGGAAGTTGAATGACATTAAAATATTGGACGCCAAAACCAGAAAAATGCCTATCCAAATGAGAATGCTAATGGCTTGTATGTTACTAGAGCTTTCGAAGGCTGAGCTCTAATCTAACTTGAACTAACTCTAAAAACTACAACAATCGAATTGGTAGCCAACCTCAGCAATGAGCCTCTCCGACAGATATTAAAACACCAAATCCACTGCATCAACAAAGAAGCTGCACTCTTTCAGAAACAGCTTAATATACATGAAATCCTACCAACAAAACACGAAGCAAATACCATCTATGCCAAACAAGTAAAACAGAAAGCAAAACAACTTGGCCAAATGAAAATACAAAAAACTAAAAATAAATTAAATGAGAGGACAAGGTGTTGCATGGCAAATACACAACGAGAACGAAAGAAGCAGATGTGGACGAACAGAAAACACATCAGTGACTGAGGAGCACCAGGCTGAAAACTGAGATAGAAGGCCTAATTGTTGCAGCTCAGGACCAAACCTCACAACCAGATCCTATCACTGTCACATAATCAAGGATGAAACTAACCCGAAATGCAGGATCTGCTGAAAATATGATGAAGCTGTCGACCATATTATCTCAGGATGCCCGGAACAAGCAAAAAAGGATAATACCCACAGGTATAGCAAAATAGCAACATATGCGTACTTAAAGATGTGCAAGAAGCACAAAATCGAAACCACTGAGAGATGGTATGAGAATCAACCAGACACAGTTACCCAAAATAACGATGTAAGTATCCTCTGGAGCATACCAATTCAAACTGACATGGAAATTATATTTATCCTAAAAGACAAGAAATTCAGGAAGTGTATTCTTATTGACATGGCAGTACCATCTGAGAGAAACATCTCCATAAAAATTATCGAGATATTGTCTAAATACAAGGGCCTGGAGACCGAGATTAACAGGATGTGGGGAATGAAGACCGAGAATGTACCAATAGTAATCGGAGCACTGAGCCTCGTGAGAAAAAAAGGAATGGACATATTTTACTAACAGTGTCCCAGGTAACATCAACATAAAGTTGCCCAGAACATCGCCCAACTAGGAACAATCAATATACTAAGAAAATGCTATCAATTAAATGACAATTCTCCTATAGTTTCCAAGTAACATAATCTGAACCCGCCTCTACATGACACAAAGCAGGAAACATAACATACACAAATAATAATAAAAATTAAAGTACAATAAGAAATTAAAGTACAATAATAATAATAATAGATTAAATAATAATAATAAAATTAGAGTACAATAATAATAAAATGAATTAGAATAATAATAATAATAATAATAATACGTTAGAGTACAATAGACTCAAACCGGAAAAAAGGAAAGAGAGAAAAGTATATATATATATATATATATATATATATATATATATTGAAATACGAAAATACACAAATTTGTATATAAGTTAAACTTCTATTGAAATATCATGACATAAAAAAAGATGAATTGAGGATAGGGGAAGGAAGGTGAAAAGTAAAAGATAAAGGTTCACTGAGAACAAAAGAATATCTGGGACGATTGAAAAAGAATAAAACTCTAAGAACACAAAGAAGAAAAGAGAAAGAACGAGAGAAAACAATCAGGGTAAGGAAAGTGTAGATTTATTGTATCTGGGTCAGATTTTGAAGAGATACGCTTGAGCAGATCCATCTTCGGTTCAAGTATTGCTGATTGAAAATAGCTTTTGATTTCAACAAGCCTGCGAAAACCAGAAAATTGGTCATCGTACTGACAGTGAATGAGTTGAGGAGAAAGGCAGAGTATCGTGACAAAGAAGGATTAGAAAAAGGGGGAAGTGAGATAGGATGTCATTTGGAAGGAGGGGATTGCTAGCTGATTAAAGAGAGAGGGAAAAGGTACAATAGAGAGAAGTTGGACTGGAAAATCAAAAGAGAAATAGAGTTATATAAGAAAGAGAGGAGAGAATATACGAAGAGTTGAGGGGTCGTAGAAAATAGAGAAAGAGAAACAAGTTCTAAAATAAATGTGATATATATATATATATATATATAGAGAGAGAGAGAGAGAGAGAGACAAAGAGAGAAAGTGTCATACCTGAACGTACCTATTCTATTATTAATAGACTCCCCCACACATAATAGGTAGTAGTAGTAGTAGCGGTCGCCAGCTGAGCTCAGTGGTGTTGAGTGAGTGATGTCGGACATTGAAGTATCAACCATCACAACTAGATTGCTGCTTCATTAATTATTATTTCGAGTTCCTAACGTTTTGTACGTCGGACACTTTTTAGGGCCGACTTAGCGAAATACAAGCCTCCACTGTGAAAACTACTCTACAACAGAAAGTGAGAGAAATAAAATGTAAGAGAATGGACAATAATCATTTTTAATGACTACTTGGAGATATTTATGACATACAGAAAAAATTAAAGAAAGAAAGAAAGAATAAAAGAAAGAAAGAAATCTAAAGTACAATTAAAGAAATGTAAACATCAACTCCTAGAAGACAGAAATTATTGTCATCGGTAAGAGAAGAATCCCAAGATACGAGTTACAAATTGGTGATATCAACATCAAGTAGGCGTAGAAACATTCTTAGAAGTGGAAGAACAATGTGGCACCGAGATCCTAACACACATGAGATTAGCGAAAGAAACATTGCAAAAGATTACCAAATTTGCTAATAAACGGAAAAAGTATTTACATTAGTCGGACTATTGTCCTCATCTTTGTCGCCATATTTGTCACAACGTTTCGGTCGTTGTACGCTCCGGCCTTCTTCAGGTGGTTGGAATTTCGAACTGAACCCTTTATTTCGATCACTGGGGTAGACTGTTCTAGTTCCACGTGCCATGTTTGATGGATGTCAGCTATCAGTTATCTCCTGCTAATTTTCCCTCTGAAAGTTCTCCACTGCCTCAAGGACACATGGCACAGTGGATAAAGGCGTTGGTTAGATCCAGTGACAGACCCAAAGAAGGTGAGTTCAATTCCTGGTTAAGGACCGGTAGTTAGAAACCGGAACTCTTACATTGCCTCTTGAGAGGCTGCTCTGATCAACAGTCGCATAATATCAGGGTTCTTGTAGTGCCATGTCATACATGGAAGGGTGACTCTGCAAGCATTTCTGGTGGGCAATTTCGAAGCCACACTATACTACAATCTGCACCAATTCCCATCCAGCACATGTTACATTAGACGACTGACTGCTACTAGTACGCTTGGCCTTTCCTTACTAAAACAACACTCCATGATGATAAGCAACCAAAGATATAAAGATAAACCAGCTCAATAAAAAAACACCTACACCCCGCAATCGTTCTTTCTCCAACATGCGTGGCATTCGTACCAACTTTTGCAGCGTGAAAAAGTTCTTCTTCAAAAACTCTCCGGTCATCATAGCTCTTTGTGAAACTAATCTTAACTCTTCAATCCCCTCTTCTGATTTCTCAATTCCTGGCTATCTTTCTCTTCTTAGGAAATACTCTTATGTCCACATGCATGGCCTGGGAGTATATTTTCGTGAACATCTCCCGCTAGGGAACTCTCTCTTGAATCTCCAGACCATTTTTACATATTTCTTGTCGATGTCTATTTTTGTCTCCTGCCGTAGTAAGCATCTCTGCCCTCTTGGCATCTCTGATTATGCGGTACTGTCTGTAAATATCTCCTTCCGCTCCCCCTCCAGCCAAGAACCTTCTATTAATAGAATATATTTTTGTTATCAACGAGCAGATTGGGACTCGTTCCATGATTTCATTCCTGACATCCTTTATAATCATGTTCTGAAATTTGCGACTGCGGTCACTTTCTTGGTGAAAGCTGGCATCAATGCTTTCATTCCAGCATGGAAATACCAAGTTAAACCGCGTTTATCTCCTTCGTTATCATTTGCATGTTCGGCAGCTATAGTCCACAGAAATTAATTCCTCCGGCTGCACCAGAGCGTTGCGTCTGATTGCAGCAGACGTCTCTGCTCGTAACGTGTACAAGTGTCTCCTTAATGAAGCGGAGTTACTGTTTGCTGATAGAATGAAACAGCGTACAGCATCTCGCTGGTTTGATGCTTTGCTCGTAAATTCTCTTCCAACTCAACACTCGATTTATTTGGAGTACCTACACCTGATTTCCCCACTAGAACTGAGGTTCTGCTAATTGATATGCGCATAACCCTGTCACTGGTCTCGGATATCGTTTCTAAAATAGAATCCCATGAGGCAAGCGGAGATGACGGGATCCCAGCCGTCGTCCTAAAGAAATGTGCTCCAGTGTTGGCTCCATTTCTCTCCAAATTCTACAACTATTACCTCGCTGCTTCATGATTTCTATCTTGTTGGAAGTCCTCCTCTTGCTCTTTAAGAACTCTGGAGAATATTTTTCACTCCTTAACTACTCACCATTAATCGCCTATCGCATTTCAGCAAAGTATTCGAGGCTTTAATCAATGCTGAAATAGTCAAGCATCTTACCTCTAACGATCTACTCTCCGACAAACAATGTGGCTTCCGTTTTTCCCAGTCTACTGCTGACGTGCTTACGGCCATCACTGAATGGGTATATTAAGCTCTTGTTAATAACAGCAACTCTCGAGCTGTGGATCTAGGTATCTGAAAGATGTCTGACAGGGTTTAGCATGTTGGTCTTCTACGTAAGTTTCAGTGCTATGGTATTACAGGTCGATTGTTACATTTAATCCAGTCCTTCCTATCAATTCGTGAAATGAAGTTCGTTCTGAACGGGCTCGCTTCCAGGTCCTTTCATACGAACGCGGGTGTACCCCAGGGCTCTTTCCTGTTTGTGTTCTACACCAATGATCTTCCTGTTATCAGCTCACAAGTAGACATTTATGCAGAACACACTTCTCGATTGGCTCTAAATCAGAAGAATTTCCAGGCCAGTATATAGTACTTAAATTTGCTCACTGATAAGGCTTACTAATGTCTTCGTGGAGCGTTACAATTTTCGTAGGTTTCCTTGGAGTAAGGTCTATCGTGGATAACGGCCGTAGGACAACTAATTGACAATCGAGACAATAATGTCTGACCGTAAAAAACATCTGATGCAATCACGGATGAAGCAATATTTTTCAAGGCCAAACAAATTTCATCATACACACCGAAAATAGATTCATATTACTGCACACCACAGCAAATGACCTATTCTGAGAAAGAATAAAAATCCATGATACCCTTGTCCCTTCAGTGGGTCAAAAACTGACTAATTTGTACTAATTTGTACACGGGTGTATGGTTCGGTTCTTCTGCAATATATTTCTGCAAATTTGACTTTTCTACAAATTCTTTCAAGATAATTGTTCGGATGAGCTTTTCGCCATTTTATCTAGAGTTTATGAATTTAAACGCAGTACTAGATTGGCGATGAGGTCTCGTCAATTTGAAAAATGAATTGGCTACATGTAACTGCAAGTTCTATGCTAACAGTTTCTTCTATCGCACTTCCCGCTTGTAAAACTCCTTTAGTTCCATGTTTTACAGCCAACTCTGGCCTTGAAAAATTTCATGATCACCCTTCTCTTGTTCTCGTTCTATAATGTGTCTGTTTTCTAATTCTTTCACACCCAGTAAACCCTTTGTATATTAGTGGATTTACTGCATTTCATGGGGTGAATTTGATTTAAAAATATATAAATGTCTTATGTTGAAATCAAGATAACTTTACGCAAGATGATTGCAATATATTTGGAGAAATAGTGGCGTCTATTTTTAAACTGAAGCCAGGAGGAGATGGTTTAATCGCTTGAAGCATATTTCATAAATGTTTAGCGATTAAACAATAAATGTTTTGTGTCATGTCAATGATTTGTTTTATTTGTGGCAAAGTGCAAAAGCCTCTAACTGTGGGGATTCCATAATTTTTACCAGCGGTTGTATACGCTTGAAAACTTATAACTAATAGGACAGTAAGAACGTCTGATGCTTCTGTTAGTTTTGTTATTATTTCATTAATCTTATCAGCATGGATGACTGAAAAGAAAGTTAGGTCGATGAGGAGAGGGAAGAACAAAAAGGTGAAAACTAAGAGAAAATGGCGGATGAGACGATGAATAATTGTACATTGAAGGGAAAAGTTTGGTGGAGATATTTGAGAAGATTAGCAAAACGGAAAAATAGAATTATAAGAAGGGAAATGTAGCGAAGGCTAAACAAAAAAATAAAGAATTGATGTCATGTGAGAAAAAGAATGTAAAAATCTAAATGGAAGAGAAAAGAAAAAGTATAAAAAGAAGTTGTAGTAGTAGTGGTAGTAGTAATAGTAGTATTAGTAATATTAGGGATAATAATAGTAGTATTAATAGAAGAAGAAGCAGGAGGAGGAGTAGGAGGAGGAGGAGGAGGATTTGGTTGATTGGTTGATTTTTGATATATTCTATTGGTTATCTAATAGGTCGGGGACACTAAAATCAAGCGAGTGCGGAAGTTTAAATATCTGAGAAGCATTTTGACAGTAGACGGCAATTACGACACTGAGATCCGTAGACGTATTGGGATGGCCAAGGGCGCGTTCCAAAAACTGCTCAGAGTATCAAAAGACAGGAGCATCTCTTTGGTAACAAAGAAAAGAGTACTGAGGTGTTACGTGACATTTGTCCCCCTTTACGGCAGCGAATGCCGGACGGTCTCCTTTCAGATGAAGAAGAGACTCGAGGCGACTGAAATGTGGTTCTACAGAAAGATGCTGAGGATATCATGGACTGAGCGTGTGAGCAACAATGAGGTCTTGGAGTGGATGCAAACAAGGAGGAGGCTTATATTTAACATCAGCAAGAGGCAGCTGATCTTTCTGGAACAAGTAATGAGAAAGTAGGGCCTGGAGAATCTGATACTCACAGGTCGAGTAGAAGGAAAGAGAGACCAGAGAAAGCAACGCATGACATACCTGGCTTGCTTAAGCAAGTGGATAACAGAATGTGGCCTAGGAGATATTGCAGAGGGACGAAAGTTATTGAGAGCTACAAGGGATAGGGGACAGTGAATGGGAGAAGAAGATAATGGGTTTAGGGATCAAGTCTTATTAATTAACCCACAGCTGTGGGGAGAATAAGTAGATTCATATCTTCCTCAAGGGTATCTGCACGTAAGTGGATGTAACGAACCCAATGGGAATTGGAACTTGGCTCTCCGATTCCAATTTCCGAGCCATGATCCTTTATAACACTCGGACATCAACAAACTTACAACACCTGTTATTCCCAAGCGGTCACTTATCAAGGTAATGAACAGGATCAGTGTTGCATAACTTCAGTGATCGTACGTGAACCAGTGTATCAATGTGATGTGGCCGTTCACTAAAAAGAAGTAGTGTTAGTAGGCGGACAAGAAGAAGGCGGACAAGAAGAAGAAAAATGAGGAGGAGGAAGGAGACAATTAATAGTAGTAGTAGAAAAAGAAGTAGTAGTAGGAGGAGGAGGAGTAGTAGTAGAGGTAAAACAAGCAGCAGTAGAAGGAGGAGGTGAGAAGGGTAAGACGAAGAAGTAGGAGGGGGAAGAGGATAAGATATATTAGGAAGAGGAAGAGGAGGAATAGGACAAGAAGAAGAATGAGAAAGGCAGAGGATGAATAGGAAGAGTACAAGATGTATAAGTAGTTGTAGTAGTAGAAGAAGAAAAAGAAGAAGAAAGAGGGGGAGGAATAGAAGAAGAAGAAGAAGAAGAAGAAGAAGAAGAAGAAGAAGAAGAAGAAGAAAGGCGGCGGTGGAATAGGAAGAGGATAAGAAAAAGAAGTAGTAGTAGTAGTTGTAGAAGAAGAAGGAGGAGGGGAGGTGGTGGAGGAATAGAATAAGGTGAAAAGAGGAGAAAGAGGTCCAGTAGTAGTATAGTAGTAGTAGTAGTAGTAGTAGAAGGAGGAGGAGGAGGAGGAGGAAGAGGAGAAGGAATAGAATAAGGTGAAAAGAGGAGAAAGAGGTCCAGTAGAAGAAGAAGAAGAAGAAGAAGAAGAAGGAGGAGGAGGAGGAGGAGGAAAATAAAGATTAGGTAAAAAAACGGGAAAAGAATTTGTGAACGAATTAGAAGTCTACTGTGGGTGGGGGTGGGTGGAGTAAAGAATGTCGCAGAAACAAACACAAAGAATTCAAGGAACCAAATATAGAGGCTGGTGGCGACGGTAGAAGGATATGACTGTCATAATGAAGGAAGGATTATCTTTTGAGCGAAGTGTAATCTGGCGTATTTAGGCCAGATTATCTCGATCGGACGGAAAGGCTCCGTCCGAGACACGAAATCACCGAAGCGTACGATGCCGACATACTTTCAAGGCACGTCTTTAATTCACATAAAACAAAAACATTTTTCATCACGATGAACAAGACGCTACGTAAGCTGCCGGCTGCGTGCAGACACGCGATTGCAAACATTTTGAAGGCCAAACACTAAACACACGCTATTTTGTTTACTTTTTTTCACTTGATATGTCACTAAAAACAAGGGCATCCCATAAATTATACGATAGCCGTGGGTTACGTTTTTATACTGTAGCTCGCAATAATTAAAAAATAAATAAATAAAAAATTAAGCCAGATATCTTCCTTTCATATTGTTGTATCTTAGGGAAAGTTACTGAATAGTATAATCACACGAAGGTTTGTAATGATCGATAATACAAGGAAAGGACAACACATATAAAATTCGCCAGCGGCGCGTAGAAGTAGTAGTCAACTGCTAGAATTCCACACGGAATCTCCAGCTGCAGGCGGTCAGATGTGGCACAAGGCCGAATTTAACGTGGGGTATCTTAACCCGTAGGCTCCCCAACAATTCCCCGTAGACCCGGTATAAAACGGGGTCGGGTAGCTGTTTCTCTAGACAAGATTCTGCCCTTCGACATAGTCTCGTCTGGGGATCCTCTCTGCCCGGAAACAGAGAGTTTGGGCAGCACAACCGGAGGCGAATCTCCAGCTGCAGGATATTTATCAACCACCCCACGCTGTCAGATGTGGAACAAGGCTGAATTTAATGAGGGGTATCCAAGCCCGTAGACTCGGTCCAAAATTCCCCGTAAACCCGTTATACAACGAGGTCGTGTAGCTGTTCTCCGGGGCGAGACTCTGCCCTTAGACATAACCTCGTTTGGGGATCCTAACTGTCCGGAGGCAGAGAGTTTGACCAGCACAGCTGGAGACGAATCTTCAACTGCAGATCAACATACAGTATTTACTACTGTATTTATCGTCCGTAGGTATGTTACAACCTATATTCAATTGGTGAGAAAGTAAGTTCTACTCGAGTATCTTCTTCCCGCTAACCACTACTCTATGTAACCGACTCCCAAGAGGATATTTTCCCAATCAATACAATCTTAAGTTCCATTCAAGCAACTTCTCCCCACAAATGACTCCCAAGAGAATGTTTTCCCGATCACTACAGACTTAACCTCTTCAAGTCTAGGAGCTAATCGTTATCTTCCCCACGTATCAACATAAACTGTGCCTTTTACTCTGTAATCCTCTACCTCGAGTGGCTCCCGGGCTTTGTACAAGGTGAAATCTATATAGTTTCACATCGTTGTAGAGGCATGGACACATTATAACGCATATACATATATGCATACACGCAGGTATACAATTGACCAACTCGGGTGTACTAAGATTAAATGAAGAGACAAAAAGTAGAGTGAAAATGTCTCCACACCCAATTTCCTGTACATTTTAGCTTTTAAGATTTGTTGTCTCTTTCTTTGCTAAATCTTGTCACGCCACCCATTTACTCAAGCTCTCTCTGAATCTGTAACCCTCTACCTCGAGTGGCTTCCTGGCTTTGTACAAGCTGTACTTAGATTAAATGAAGAGACAAAAAGTAGAGTGAAAATGTCTCCACACCCAATTTCCTGTCCTTTTTAGCTTTTAATATTTGTTGTCTCTTTCTTTGCTAAATCTTGTCACGCCACCCATTTACTCAAGCTCTCTCTGAATCTGTAACCCTCTACCTCGAGTGGCTTCCTGGCTTTGTACAAGCTGTACTTAGATTAAATGAAGAGACAAAAAGTAGAGTGAAAATGCCTCCACACCCAATTTTTTTGTCCTTTTTTAGCTTTTAATATTTGTTGTCTCTTTCTTTGCTAAATCTTGTCACGTCAACCATTTACTCAAGCTCTCTCTAAATCTATAACCCTCTACCTCGAGTGGCTTCTTGGCTTTGTACAAGGTGTACTTAGATTAAATGAAGAGACAAAAGTAGAGTGAAAATGTCTCCATACCCAATTTTTCTGTCCTTTTTAGCTTTTAATATTTGTTGTCTCTTTCTTTGCTAAATCTTGTCACGTCAACCATTTACTCAAGCTCTCTCTGAATCTGTAACCCTCTACCTCGAGTGGCTTCCTGGCTTTGTACAAGGTGTACTTAGATTAAATGAAGAGACAAAAAATAGAGTGAAAATGTCTTCACACCCAATTTCCTGTCCTTTTTAAGCTTTTAATATTTGTTGTCGCTTTCTTATCTTTGCAAAATCTTGTCACGCCAACCATTTACTCAAGCTCTCTAAGTAAGTTTTTCGTATTTTCTTCCGTCCCACTTGTCTTCAGTCTGTCCTATGAGTATCAAATTTTCCAAGTCCTCTTTCCTCATCAATCAAGGGATTTCAACTGCCTCTTGCTGATATTAAGTATACGTGCCTTTTTTTCCATTTTTTTTAAAGCTTCGCTGTTGCTTACATATCTAGTCCATGGTATCATCAGCATCCTTCTGTAGAACCACATTTCTGTCGCTCTAAGTGTCTTCTTCATCTGTGAGGAGATTGTCCAACATTAATTACCATATAGGAGTGCTGATATTATATAACAGTTCAGTATTTTTTATCTTTATTTCCAATGATTTTTTTCTGTTTCTTAATACATTGCTTAGCTTTTGGAATGCATTTTTGCCTATGCAAATGCTCCTCTGGAATCCAGTGTTTCACCTTCCGGCTTCTGTTAAAAACACTTTCCAGATGTTTAAATTGTTCATCTTGGTATCTCAAGTTTATAACTTTCATGTTGGGCTGTTCCTTCCACTGACAACCATGCATTCTGTCTTCTTACAATTGATGTTTAGTCCTTTGTTCTCACTATCCTTCACTACATTCTGTAGGAGTTCTTATAGTTTATTTTCTGTGACTGCTATTAACACTTTCATCTGCATATTTTATGCTGTTAAGATTGTGTCTAACAGAGTCTGTCTATATTTCTGAGATGAGGTATTATGTACAGTATTTACATTAGTCGGACTATTGCCCTCATCTTTGTCGCCATATTTGTCACAACGTTTCGGCTGTTGTACGCTCCGGCCTTCTTCAGGTGTTAAGAATTTCGAACTGAACCCTTTATTTCGATCACTGGGGTAGACTGTTCTAATTCCACGTACCATGTTTGATGGATGTCAGTTATCAGTTATCTCCTGCTAATTTTCCCTCTGAAAGTTCTCCACTGCCTTAACCAGGAATTGAACTCACCTTCTTTGGGTCTGTCACTGGATCTAACCAACGTCTTTATCCACTGTGCCATGTGTCCTTGAGGACATGGCAATTCCTGGTTAAGGCAGTGGAGAACTTTCAGAGGGAAAATTAGCAGGAGATAACTGATAACTGACATCCATCAAACATGGCACGTGGAACTAGAACAGTCTACCCCAGTGATCGAAATAAAGGGTTCAGTTCGAAATTCCTACCACCTGAAGAAGGCCGGAGCGTACAACGGCCGAAACGTTGTGACAAATATGGCGACAAAGATGAGGACAATAGTCCGACTAATGTAAATATTGTGTCTACCAATAATAAATTCTGGTAGAATTCCAATTCTTTCAGAATCGCTTCAATGTATAGATTGAATAAATCCTTGTCTTACATCTCTTTTTGTATTTGTATTACGGTGGAGTAATGGATAGCGGCTGGGATTGAGGAATCGGAAAGCCGAGTTCGAATTCCAGATGAATCCATTGCATTCACTTAAGTGCTAATACCCTTGGGAATGATAAGAAAGCTCTTCTTCTCCCCCCAGCTATGGGTAAATAGCAGGACAGACAAGGTTCTACAGCCTTGGATGGCAACTGGTCTACCGCAGAAAGAAATGGCAACCTATTGCGGGAAAAAAAATCTGCCTCGTCAATCATGTATCGAAAAATACATGATCGCCTAAGCGTGTATCACGCATGGCACATAACTGACTGATATTTACTGAAATCATTTTCTTTCCGGGCGCAAGGGGTTCCCTGCCAGTATAAGTTCTGGATTACATTCCATAGTTCCACCAGTTCTGACCTTCACAACTAGGACACGTCATGTTACGTGCATTGCAGCGAACCACCTTCATTCCCTTCGTC